CCCTGTATTCTACAGGTACGATACGATAATTGTCAGAGGCTATTTCCTCCGAACCCAGACCCGAATCGAGGAACCCAAGCGACTGGTAGGGATTGGATCAGGTGGAGAACAGCCCTCGATAAAGCCCTTTTTTTTCTTCTTTGTCTGCACCTAAACCTTACAACTAGGCTAGCCTGAGGAGAAGGGGGGCCTTGACCCGTACCTCCCAACGTACCCGATAGTGTCATAGCCCCAATGCCCTTAGACTATGGTGCATTGCACTTAAAGCGTGCACCGTGCTAAGTGCAACACGAAACGCTCAACCCTGTATGCAACTAGTACCGTACCCTAAATCCTGTCTCTTTAGAAAAAAAATAACTCTTGTTAATAATATTTATATATAATTAATAGTATATTATCCACCATATGTATCAATCATAAGTCTAACATATGATATGAACCATTATACTTCCAATTCTGACCTTTTCTGTTGCGAACAAGCAAGAAAAAATAGACCGAAATACCCTAGTATGGTGCCAGACACCCAAAAGGTGTCCCTGTGGGTGTTGCAAAATGAAATGCCTTATGTCATCAGGGCAGGGGTTATTAAACATCAAAAATGGTTTCTGGAGGTCTGTAGTTCAAGTCATGTTGATATCAACTTAGTTTTCACTTATGTTTATTCTAGCATAGTATTATCTGTAAAGATACTTTAAAATTAATTGAGAAAATAAGATAAATTTAAAAATTATTAGTATTTAACAGTATCAAAAAACATCTTCTCTATGCCTTTCACTTTATTATTAAAAATACTCCTATGATTCAGCAAATTCAATAATCAAAATCTTTTAACAATGTCCAACCAGCCTTTAAGTTCTCCCCATGCTGCAAGGAATTTGCAAAGTCAAGTAAAGCCAAGCACCTTAAGATCAAGGGCAAGAAGAGAACGAATCAAAGCAGAACGGATTGCGGTATGCTTGTCTACTCTATAGCTATAGGTTTCTGAAACTTGAATATCAACTGAAGTATAACATATTAGAGTGGAGAAATACAACTAAAAACACCATCAGCCAATGCATTACGGCTGAGACGATTTCGACAACGACGCTTAGAACAAGCTGTCAATCCATCAGTAGCTGCTGAAGTTACAAGCAGTATTTCGGTCCTACCCCAATCAGGTCTATCACCAGTACAGACTTCTCCCGAGCCTGAGCTACCTGTCATGTTACAATCTTGTATTCCAGTAGCAAGCAGTACTTCTTCACTTCAACCTCCGCTGGATTTAGAAATACAGCTAAAGTTGGATATTAAATCTTGGCCAAGGCGGCGGATGTTTTCAGATCATGCCTGTCCTCGGCGGCTGAAAATCCTAGAAACTGCATTCAAAGATATGAGCAAAACGGTTTCTCAAAGATATACGAAGAGAAAAAAGCAACCTACTGGCCTATATTTCAAATGGCACTATCATGTCTATCTGTTTCTCAAATTACAAATACGACAAGAGAAGGCAGCATTAAAGGGGCCTGATATATTTACTGGAGAATCAATCTCTCTCATACCACGGAAGGTCCTAGCACAAAGGGTTGCCAATGGGAGTGGAGGTGGAAGAAAGGTTCGGAACCGGATTTTGTCCAATGAGGTTGCTTGGGTTAAGAAGCGTAAAATTATAGAACCTGGACAAGGGAGAAGACAGAGAATAGTGTCACTTTTAGAGGATCCTGAAACATTACTGGCTGTACGGCAGCATATTTTGACTGTTGGTGAGAGTATGTGTTTAACTTTTTTATTTTTTTTATTTCTAGTAACAACTGTAATAAATATTTTGCTAATATAATAATTTAGAACTCACTTCTACAAACTTAGCAAAAGCTATAGTTGCCCACTGGAAGGCTATAGAGTCCTCTGAGTCAGACGATTCTCAGATTATAAACCGATCAACCAGTAGCATTCGCCGAGAGGTTGAGAAAACTATTGCTTCACACACAGCAAGCAGATGGCTCACCAAGTTAGGATTCAAGTATAAGGAGTACAGAAAGGGAATTTATAACGATGGTCACGAGCGAGAGGATGTTAAAATATATCGTGATACGATATTTCTACCAAGATTGGAATCCTACAAAGAGCAACTCAGACAATGGGATGAGGATTTATATGAGATTCCAAATCCATTACATCTCTCGGGCGCAGTGCAACCATTGATTTTGGTAACTCAAGATGAGTGTACCTTCAATTCCAACGATGGCCGGCATTATATCTGGATACATCCAGACCATCAACCACTTAGAAAAAAAGGCCGTGGTCAGGGCCTACATGTTTCCGACTTCCTTACACCAGTTGGACGATTAGGAGATGGGGAGGCATGTGTTATTATGAAGTGTGGAGGGGAAGTCTGGTGGAATGGAGACAAATTACTGGACCAAGTAATTAACAAGGCAATACCCATCTTTGAAGCGCAGTTTCCAGGCTGTAGAGCCCTTTTTGCATTTGATAATGCACGAAATCATCTGAAATTTGCAGATGATGCATTGCGTGTTTCCGAAATGAACCTCGAACCAGGCGGAAAGAATATAAAGCGCATGCATGACACTTTTGTCACAGACTCCGATCACCCAAACGGCGGTTTTATACAATCTATGGTCCTGGCTGATGGTAGACCTAAAGATCTAGGGATAGTTCTTCAAGAACGAGGCCTTTGGCCACAAAATGAGCTGGATTTTCGAGCACAATGTACGATTAAGTCAACAACCTCGAAATCAGCTAAACTAAAAGCAACTTGCTTAAATGGAGGAACTTGTTGTGCACGTGCACTACTTGCAATGCAACCTGACTTTCTCAATCAAAAAAGTCAAATTGAGCAAGCAATTCTTGATCGGGGCCATGAAGTTATTTTCTATCCCGCATTCCATTGCGAGTTGAACTTCATTGAATACTATTGGGGAGCTGCAAAGCAGTATACCCGAGATAATTGTGAGTATGATTTTGAATCTTTGAAGCGTCTAGTTCCAGAAGCTCTTGCACAGGTTCCAAATCAGTTGATTTGGAAGTATTGGGCACGTACTGAGCGTATTATGGAAGCTTATCGCTCTCATGTCATTTATGGCTCCAAGGAATATGAGAATCTGGTTCATCAAAAGTATCGATCACATCGTCGTGTTAATCATGTACCTGTAAATTAATGGATATTATAATTATACAATAAATTATATATTGAATTTTGAATAACCCCTGCCCTGATGACATAAGGCATTTCATTTTGCAACACCCACAGGGACACCTTTTGGGTGTCTGGCACCATAATACCAGTTTCAAACACTCATCTTTACTCAAATGCAGCAGCCTCTGCTTTAGTATCACCTGATGTGTATGAAATTAATATACTATTGGTGGTATCATAATATTATGAGATTGTTGATGAAAGTTAATTTTTTCCTGAGGGTACAGGATTTAGGATATAGTACTGGTTGCATACATTGTCGAGTGTTTCGTGTTGCACTTTGCACATTGAACGCTTTAAGTGCAATGCACCATACTACACTTTAAGCTCGAACCTGCTATGACACCATATCATACCAGGATCAATGCATTCTTCAGTTGATTGAAAGCGCAGTCACTCTCGATCACTCGTTTACACCCAAATACTCAAAATCACATGACCACCAAATAGTTACCTTGGCGCTGCGCTTAGCAGTCCTGACACTTTAGAGCGACCGGGAAGCCGGGCACACCCAGTCCGATAACTAGCACACTTCCACGATAATTCCGGCGATCGAGCCCCAGCCCTGAGTAGGTCCTATCCGGCTCACACACATCCTCTGAGTTCGTAAAGTTTTGTACTCTATAAGTACCGTACTCTCGTAGCAGATCAAGAAAAATGATTTAGTCCGTCATTTCCCAATCCCAAGTAGTCACTTTAGCCTTCGAGACACCTGTACTCCTTTCCCAAAACCACACCCACTCAATATTCAAAATCACTTTTTCCAATGGTGTCCTCCCCGCCGGCATTTTTAAGAAGTGGCCAGCCCCCCCCCCGGTCCCGCTCCCTAGTAGCGTGGGGCGCAAAACATCACAGCGTCCCACCCTCAGCCCCCAGAAACCAAGCACGAACAGGGCCAGATCCCGAGGCTGAACTAAAGCCCCGGTATCCTGCCACATTTCCGCCATCTCCCCACTGTTCCAGGCGTGTGAGACAGGCGTAGACTATGCAAACGACAGCTGGAAAACCGGATGTTTTCCCAAGGAGGGGGGTCAGTAGGCCCACAAACGGGTACTCGAGTACACCGAAAATCGGGACTCGGCACGGGGATAATGGCTATCGAGATAATCGAGGCATGAGCCCGTGTCTTGGCTGACGCTAGAGGGAGAGAGTCGGGGATAAGGGGTACCGGTAGCCGTAGGGAAGTTCACTTTTTTTCCTTCCGCGGGGAAGATGCCAGACCGAATGGGATGGGCCGGAAACCAGTAATCGGGCACTCGTACTCGTACTCGTAGAGGTGCTTTTAGACAAACTCTTTTTACTGTAGTCCTGGAGAGCTCAAAGGTTGGGGGGACGATGTTGGATCTTCACGGGAAACGGAGCTCCTAGTTTGGGCACTATATAGATATAGTGGTCGCTAAAGTTATGGGGAAAATGGGGAGTGGGGAGGGGGGAGGGGCGTAAATATTGTGGAGCCCTCAATCTTCAATTAAGCGGGGCCCCAGATGGACTGAGGGCCCACCAGTACCCCCCTAAGACACGAGATATTAGCTGTTATTAGCTGTTTACTAAATACTTCTGAATGAAGAATGACGGGGGGCAATGGCTTCCAAACAGCACATCTTCAGGCTAAATTAATCATAGGATAAGGCGGGGTTGAACTAGGTCGACCATCGGGACCACGGTGTGGTGGGAGAACGAACGCGGGGATCGGATCCTCTCCAAAGCCTAAATGTAAAGGCGAGCCATTTCCCCATTACAAAAACTACTCACACTGACCTTCGTCCCTACCCAATCCTCGTTCAAAAACGGTTAAAATATACTCACGATAGCACCTTCTCTAAGACCAGGCATTTACGCCCCAACAATGACCTTCTTCGACCCCGAAACCGAAGATCTGGATATCCCCACTATCAGGTATCATGCCGTACGCCTCGCGCAAGCCGGCCTAACTGGACTAATAACCATGGGCTCCAACGGTGAAGCTGTGCATCTCTCCCAGTCCGAAAAGCAAGCCATAACGCGCGCAACCCGTGAAGCCCTGGATAAGGCGGGATATAAAGATGTCTCAGTAATGGTCGGATGCAGTGGCCAATCTGTCCGTGGAGCCATTGAGCTCTGCAGAGAGGCCGCAGAATCCGGTGGCGACTCGGCGCTCCTTTTACCACCAAGCTACTACAGGTACGCCATGACGGAGGAAGCGATCTATTCCTACTTCACCAAGATAGCGGATTCTTCGCCGATTCCCCTAATCCTGTATAATTACCCCGGGGCCGTTGCAGGAATTGACATGGACTCGGACTTCATACTGAAGTTGTCAGCACACTCGAATATAGTCGGGACTAAGTTCACCTGCGGTAATACGGGAAAGCTCGCCCGAGTGGCGTTGGAGATGGATGCTGTCACCCCGACCAGCAAAGGATCGGGGTACATGGCCTTTGCTGGAATGGCAGACTTCCTACTACAGGGATTGATGGTCGGGGGCTCAGGGGTCATCGCTGGCGGGGCAAACGTCTCACCAAAAGCATGCGTGAGAGTCTTTAACCTATTCGCCGAAGGGAAAATCGATGAGGCGATTGCAGCACAGAAGAAGTTGTCCAGAGGCGATTGGGTGTTGACTAAGGCTGGCATCCCCGGGACTAAGAGCGCCATCAGGTCGTATTTCGGGTACGGGGGGTACCCGAGGCAGCCATTGCAGAGGCTATCGGCCCAAGAGGAGGAGGATATCGCGGAGAAGATCGGGGACTTGATGGAGTGGGAGAGCAGTTTATAATTGTGCAGTTCTTGTGGTTGTGATTGCAGAGGGTAGGATGATGGGCCCAAAGCCTGGGAACATGGGAATACTCATTTTATCTTGCCTGTTTAAAGTTGCTGGATTTTCATTTCTTCTCTTTGAGGTGTTGTAATTCGTATGAACCCCTAATGGATCATACCGGAGAGAACAGTTTTAAAACTCTGTTTGAGCGAAGTATGGCATCTCAAGAGCACTTTTTTGGAGCATGATTAGAGATTATATGGGAACCTCCTCTTTTTGTGGTAACCAGAAGCATAAGGCCTATGGGATATTTTACTCCTCTAGTGAGACGAAATAGCGAGGCGGAACCGGGGCAAATAGGAGGTGTTGTTGAGCTAAAAGTGTGGTCGATCTGCTACTTCGAGAAGTGTCAAGCTTCCCCAAACCCCAATTACTAGTATTCGGAGAGGAAGCGTATAGATATACTAAGAGATAATATTGCGGATGTATTTATCAAGAAAGTGAGCACTGTGCATCACCATCTAAGTCAATTATAATTGGAGCCCTCTTCGGTAGGATAGACTAATGGTATCTTAGTGAGATCGGTTGTCCTTGAGACATCCGCGCGAGTGAGACACGGTGATAACCGATAACAACGCTGATTCCATGATCTACAAGTAAACTAACCCACGTGTAACGTGAGCCTTCCGGCGGACCTGACCGGCAAAAGTTAGATTCAATTGAGACCCGCGTGGGCTAGACCTTGCCCGGCTGCCAAGAAACCAGGCCGGCAAGGCTGAGCATCTCGCCGGCCATCCTAGCCCAACCACAATTGGCTGCAAAATTTGAAGATCTGAGCTCAATGATTAGGGGTGATCAGACATGCTTAGTGTCTGCCACCAATACCAGTATGCACCAGCGGATTCTCCGTGGTATGTTATACAAGTAAATAGATCCAAAGCAGACTCCCACGGTACTAAGACTCTAGCAAGACAGAAGAAAAAGAAACATCACAGCCGTTTCTTATCCCTGTCTTTCCCAACCTTTCCCCTATCATCAATCGGCAAAAATTTCGGACCCGGAAATGCGGTTCAAACTATCCGTCTACCAGACTTTAACGATTTGGAGCACAATTAATCATTTTTGTTGTTCCTGTCTTTTGTGGAGACAGGGCATAGTATCTCCACAACGGTGCCCTAGCCAGTGTGAGAGGGGCACGCATAAGAGAGTAGCGTAGAGGAGGACGTTATTGTTTATTTTGGACAACATTAGGGGCACCATATGCTGCAAGGTGAGCATCCGAAAAGACAACCCCCCCATTGCTTGACAAGAGCTTTTTGAGAGTTATATTCTTGAGAGCCATCTTGTTGAGGGGTGTGTTGAATGAGAGGCCACGTGTCTGGCCCATCAGCTGTGTTCAGGGTTCACTGGGACGAGAGGGTATAGAGAGCCTCTAAGGGCAATGTTTTTTTAGGGGAGCACCACGGATATATAGACTGAAATTTTAGCCATGTGCTCTACCACTACGGTGCTGGGCCATGTGCTTCATGCCTACCCCTTATATCATACGGTACTTGAGTGGAGGACTTCCTATAAGTCTACCGGGAGCAAGGTCTGTGTGAATAGAGAGCTGAATAGAAGATATGACTTTCCGTAAACAGCAAGATTGCAGAAAATTTCTCCTCTTACTTGATTGGGGATAAAACAAAATGCTAGTGCAGTATCGGTTAAGCGGATTTGTGGAGAGGGTGATGTAAGAGATTTTGACATCTCTATTTCATTGCAATAGATGACTTAAATAGAAGGGGGATTTGCACCCCCCCCCCTTCTAACCACTGCTTTTAAACACCTCTCCTATTGCACAATATTCGGAAATTTGCTCTACCCTGGCGGTATAGCAGATGTCTAAATCGGTGTTCGCAGGTGGCCAGTCTGGTCAGGATTTGGGACTAACCCGGCGAGCCTGGACTTTTTCGGGAGCCGGCTGGGCCGGACCATGGGCTGCGGTCAGGCTTCTGGGATTCATCTAACTGGGCCCGACCGGACCGCAGATATCTGCAGGTTTCCGAGTGATTGAACGTGATTGCCCCTATTTCTGAGAGTTTTCAGGGCATGTTCAAATAGCATGGACTAAACGGAATGCTAGTGTACGCGTCAACAGTTTGTTCGTGTGCATTACCACAATGGGTCCTTTGTTATCCCCACGACAACTTCTTACTGGTTCGAGTTATTTATTATATAATGGAGTCAGCGTTTTCAATAATATATTGTCCGGGCTCCTCCGGACCAGTTTCAAACTAGCTAGTCGGGGCTGAAGGACCCCCGGGTACAGATCTACAGCTCATATTCTCGTTTAAATAGTTGTGTTCAACCGGATCATTTGAATAATAAAAGGAATATTTCTAGCTGCGGAATGATTCTAATAAAGCGTGCTTGGAGAATTCAAGGTTAGTGATGATCCTGAAGTGGTAGAATAAAACAGACTTGCAATCGAGTAATAATTGTTATCTACCATATTATAATATAGGAATATATCGAGTGATATGAAATTGCTTAGCATCTGCAGGACCCAATGCTTTGGATTTGCTTTCATTTCTTTTTATTCCTCTTTGTGTATCCTATGCTTGATCCAGCGGGAGGGAACCCCAGATATTGCATTGTAATTCCGGACGTCTACTAATATCTGCAGATGTCTTCAGGTGTCCTTGGATATCTACTACGCACCGACAATACGTCTACTAACTACACAGCACATACCGAAAGCCTACCGGCATCACCAGGCACCCAAAAAGCCTACGGGCTATGTAAAAGCCTTCCTACGAACCCCAGGTGAGCCCACTTTGATCTGGCCTGGCCGGACTGTATATCTATAAGCCATCCGCGGGCAAGCATGGCCGCTCGAGAACACTGATCTGAAGAGTACTGTAGATACACACAGCTGCCTGAAGATATCTATGGATATCTATAAATATCTTGGGATCCCAGAAAATATTTTCAAATACCAGCAGACATGTGCCGATATTTGTAGATCTCCACCAATGCAGCGTAACACCTCAAGCGATCTTAGGTTGATGCTTGCCTTGCACACAAAGGAAACCGGAATCATTCGATGCTGCAAAATTTCATACGGCTCGATAGATTCCTGAAATGTAGATAAAGTTTCGCACGTTAACTACAACTATTAAATCCTTTTAATCCCCAAGCTATTTCCTTCAACCAATTTAGTATCACTAGTATATACCCCTAATCCCCCGTATTTTTCCTTCTCGCATCTTCCATCTAGTTCTCCAAGCACCTCTTAATCTGATCATTCCGCATCGTATAGCAAACCGTTTCCTGGTTTTTTGTCCCGATAATCTAGTTGACCAGAGCTATTTAGGCGAGAATATAAGCACACAGTCCGGATCTACACTGGGGGGTGCCCCCAGGGATCTTTCAACCCCCACTAGGATAAGAAATCGCAGAGAAGATAGCACATCGCCCTATTATAGCCACGTACCTGCAGAAACTGTTGACGCGTACACTAGTGCTTCGTTCAATCCATGTCAGTGGTTATACAAGTCCTGAAAACCCCCCCCAAATTGGGACAAGTACGCTCGATCACCCAGGAGCCTGCAGGTATCTGCAGTCAGGCCCGGCCTGCCAATAAGCCCAAGCCGGCCGCCTGCGAGCACTGCTCTAAACCTGGGACTCAGGAGAGGAAAACAAAACAAGAGGTGCAAGAACCGAGACCCTAGGTGGGATTTTCAATACTCTACATCTCGGGGGGTTCCCGTGGGCAGCCGCTGCAGCCTAGCATTAGATATACCCCTCTATGACCCCAGAATGCTTCACATAACACAAAGAGAATGCATCTACCAGAAAGCAGATACATCTGTAGTGCACCACCCCCGTGAGCGATATGTGCTGTGGGAAGCAATACGCTCATATCTAATTGTTGCTCCTTGAATTGGGGGTTCCTGGGGGGTGAAAGCCTCCTAGTGTTTGGCGAAAGGCAAGAGTAATTAGTGTATGCTAGGATATCATGATACAAGAGGTGAGGAACCCTGGGGATGGGCTGGACGCTCTCGGGAAGGTACATCCATCCCAGGGATTCTGAATAATATCGAGAAAGAATGAAAAAAAAAGACCCCCAAAAAAAGAGAGTTCCAGTAGGGAACAGGGGTGAGCATGGTGTGATTATTGATTGTTATGACGGAGGGAGTCTCTAAAACCCAGTGGCGCATAGAAGTGAGGCCAAAATACGGTAGTGGGTCCCAGGCTCAAAGACACAGACCCATATCACCATATAACCAACTTATCATTTACCTCTCTCCATCCTGGTAACAATTGTCAAAGATACACCCCATGACCACCATTCTGTACGCTGCGATGGTAGAACCGCATGTCACTTGGGTGAAGAGGAGAGGATAATCATATGAAATAGACATAATATATCCGGAGACCGTTTATAAGTATAAAGCTAAGACCCTATTCGTGGTACTTGCGAAAATCTATGGGCAAATGGAACCGTAAACAAAAGCGGGAATCCGGGTCATCTTTCGGGGGCTGGCTGGGTGTTAGTTTACCAGCCGGTCGGCACCTATCCCCAGCTCCGTGGAGATACCCTTGGCACTATATCCTAGACTGTTAAAGTAATAAATTTCATGGAGTCCCTGGCTTTGGCCTGAAGACTGTTACTCACTCACTCCCATTCCTTTTGGTTAAGCTTTATCGCTAGGGGTCACAAAGAGCAAAAGTGAGGAAGCAAAAATGATGTATTATACGTTTCGCGCTCACACCTGGAGTGTGTTGCTCGAGATTCCCAATTGCTTTTACTTTACGGTGCGAGTCAACGGCAAAGACGTTGTGATACAGTCACAGTGTCTGCTCCCTTGTGTGTAGAGTACAATATTCTAGATCCTTTTGCCCGCGATTCCTCCACTAGCTTAGATTTTCTCTGCCGATCTCGCTACTAATAGGTGAAATATTTGGTGGTTAAACCATCCCCGAAGCAAATCCAGACGCCAGGCATTCCCGATGTTTCACATACTAGAACCTACAAACTAGCTACAATCCCTCGGATCCAGAATTGCGGTATCGACTGGCTACATCCACCAAAGTAGAAGCCCACAGCCCTCACCATAAAACCCACAGAAGTAATGCTGGTTCTAAACACCTAGAGAAAGCCAAGGATCTAACCGTTGGGTGCTTCCACCCCGATACTGGCTGACAAACACCATTTCCAAAGGGTATCATACAGGTTTCCGAGAATCTGTTCCGGCACACCTCATCGCCGGGATCTATTGTGCGGACGGGC